ACAGGAATAAACTGAGGCTGGATCAGCCTGTTTCTTTCTGCAATATGTGTAATAAATTCAGTCCTTGGCTTCTCACATGTTAGACTAGACAAAAATCTTGAGGGTTGTGCAAGGGTTGGCAGTGAACATTACATAAGGACTTAAGAGTTTGTAAATTATGTTGGATTAGCAAGAGTCACTGTGATTATTTTTTTTAAGTATGCTTCACAGTACACTCTACTATTACTATATTCTTAAACATTGCTGCTTGCTAATACCAGATGCTTTTTGCTAAAGGAGCACAGTGACCTTATGCCTACTTTTTGCTAAAGTCACCAGTCTCACTCCTGCTTGCTTGTTCCTGTTGGATCTGCATGAAGATAAAGATCCATTTGCAGATCCCCTTCTATCCTGCACAGTTGCATGTAACTGAAATAATAGAAATGCCAGCCATCACAGTGGCTCTTGCTGTACTTTAGAATGACATCAGTTTACTGGAATTACACAGAGTGACTTGCTCTTTTTTTTAAAATGGACTGTAGCTAAGCATAGGAAAAGCAGATAATCTGGGCACAGCTTTCCTAAATACACAAAACCTCCACTCATGCAGACCTCTCTAAATGATGAGAGATGTAGGAAAGAAGTTCCAGACCGGTTTATTCTGAGGGATCTTATTTTCTCTTTAGATTGTTGTTTGTTTTATGAATTTGCTTTTCAGTCTCCCATTTCTGATTTACTCTGTAGGCGTCCCACTTCTGAAGGCACAGCTTTGATACAAGGAAGTAGGCTGCCAAGTGTCCAGGACTTCAGATGGAGAGTGGACGTAGCTATATCCACAAGGTATAAAAGAGAATCCTGCATGACCCTAGAAATTACTTTGCCCAAGGACTTCTTGTGCTGCTTAAAAATGTGAACAGGGTTAAAATGTACCTTCTGTAAGGGACTGGCATGCAGCTTTAAAGGGTAAGGTACAGAGGGGATTTTCTGAACAGCGCAGAAGTCAGTTTATATACAGGTTGCTGCTTTTAATGTGGGCTGCCAACAGGCTTCTGCCTTCATCTTCTAGTAATGATACTTTTGAGCTCCTTATTTGTTTGATCTCTAAAACCTTTGTGCTAAGAAACATTTAATTCAAACTTTGAGTTTCTTTCAAAATTTTAAAACTTGATGGAGCCGATACAACTTCACAGGTCCTCACATATGATGGAATAAATTAGATGGCTTGACCCTCACACAGCTAGCCAAGCTCTCACTGGAGCAGGGGAGGGAAATCATCTATTCAACTTCTCAAGCAGACTATCATTTGTGTTGCACGTGATAAATAAAATTTCATTACCTGTACAGTCTGCTGTAGATACTACAATGAGAGGCTTCAGAACAGCACCTTTACACTGCCATAGTTATGCAACTGGTCATTGACCTCCTAGTTTCTCTCACAAATCGGGAGTAAAGGTCTTTATAATCATCCTGTCTGTGCCTGCAGTGAATAGCTTTTTGCCATCTGCCACAGCAGAGGCAGCTGGGGGATGAATCTTTGGCTAGGGCCAGAAGGAAACAGAAACCTGTTGTCTGTGCTGTTCCTGGTCTTTGTCTTGTTCCAACCAAGACAGACCAAGGTGAAAGAAATTAGTAGCACGCATTGTTAGCATGAGTGGCTCATGTTGCATACATGAGTACCTGCATCTGAGGGAGAGTCTCTTTGCTGCCATAGTTGAGGCACCCATGGGCCAGGGACAGTCTTCCTGAAAGCGAGAAAAAAGGCTCCTGAGTGAATGTTGTAATGGCCACAAGCTACTAATTGAGGTGACTCTCAGATGAACAGTGCTGTAAACAGTGCTGCATAGTGATACCTTTAAAAACAGGTACCACTAGGCAGAAAAAAATCTGTACCTCTAAGAGAGCAAAATGTACAGATAAACATCCTCAGGCACAGTGCTTGCAAGCTGCAGGCAAATCCTATGGCTTGTTTTCCAAACACTGGAGCAATACACTATCCTTTTCTATTTTCCTTCATCGTATTTCCTTTCCAGTCAACCTCCCCCCTGGGGTTTCTTGCTATCATCCAGCACCAGCCTCTGTGAAGAGGTATGGCTTCTGGCTGTAACGTCTTTCAGTACCTGAGCAGGCTTTGGCAGAATTGGTTGATGGAAGCTGCACAAGAATGACTCATTTCCTTTTCTTGGGTCATCAAATAAAATAACATCCCACAAATTTAGGATGAAGACTGGAAGAGCTTGATTCTCTAAATGAGATGGGAGTTGAAAGTATTGAAGGCATGGAAAGGATTAATGCAATATGGTAATCTGCATAAGAAAACTGTGTATTATTACTAGCAGTGCTTGGTCAGCTCTTATCCTTACCTTAGTTCCACTAAACTGATTATTGATTATTATTTAAAATGAAAATTGCTCCTAAACTCAGTTACTAAACTATTAAATAGATTCGTAGTCTCAATACTGAGGTAAACTGGACAGGACTCCCATGTTCCTGAGTTGCCAGCCAGGTACAGGTCTCCATGACTGAAATTACTCATGTTCTATGTAAAGCCTCCATGAACCTCTTAACTTGTTAATGTACAATGCTGTACTCACCCCACTGCCCATGTCTATTGTTGTAATACTAATAATGTAAATAATTTCAGTTCACTGGCCCGTGCACTTCAACCATCCATTCTAATGATGCTGAAGCTTTCAGATGGGACAGCGCATCGCTTTGAAGTAAGTCTGATTACCATAATAAATTAAGAAAGAAAACAACAACAACAACAAAGGAAAAAAAAAAAACGACAAAAAATCATTGAAATTCTTTTCAGAAAGTTGGGTTACTATTTAAAATGGTAAAGCTTTTGTAAACAGTACATTATCGTTGGTTGGTGTGCTTTGGAATCCTTCATGCTCAGTGTAGCCACATATAATGAAATGCCACCCAAAATCATTTTATACTTTGCTCCTACACACATATTGCTGAAAACTCGTTTGTTAAAGAACATTAATTACGGAAAGCCACTGTTGTGTAATACCTGGTTTGATTTAAAAATAGGGGTTTGTTGTCAGCTGCAACCTTCAGACCTGATGGTGGCTCTTGAGGGCAGGAAAATCACCGAAGTAGTTTATATAATCTATGATACACTTCTAAAATGGTAACATTCTCTTCTGGGCCAGAGATAGTTTTATTCTTCAGTAAAGTTCTTGCTGCTAGAAAGAAAGTAAAAAAAACTCTTTGCTTTTTACCTCAGAATTAGTCAGTGGCAGTATTTCTGACGCTGTACATAAAGGCTTGCCAGAAGATGGCATAAACTCTTCCATATTTTTAACATTTGAAAAGGAATGCTACTTGTTCTATAAATAACATGGTGGTGCATACAGGAATTCAGTGCACAGCAGGCATTGTTACATTTGAACTCTCTAAAGATTTTGGCTTCAGTTCATGTGTTAGTAGTAATCTGGAGGAAGCACCAAGCACTGTGGGTTGAAAGAGGAGAACTGATTTTACTTTTACAGTGTTTCACAAGAAGGCAGCTATTGAGGAAGGCACAATTTCTGTGCTACATTGCAAAGTGTTGAGATCAAATTCTCCCCCTGTGGACAGTCCAGCTCAGGGCATCCCATACGCTCTGTCTGACATCTTCCATGGAACTGAAATGATGCCATGGACTTCAAGATAACCCTTTACAACAGGGTGAGTTTCACTTGTGAGAACTAGTATATATTCTTAATTGTTTAGATTTGGGGCTTTACTTCCTGGTATGTAATGCCAAGCCTTGTTCTTGGTAGCATCATTCCTGGTTATTTTGATTTTAGTTTTTTTCGTTGTAACTCTGTGGAAGACCCTTTACTATTCTGCAGTGATACATTTGGTGTGCCTGTCTGGTACATGCAGAAGTGCAGGTATCAGATAGCAAACAATGGTCTTCTCTTAGAATCAGCTCTTTGCTGCTGCTGCTTAGATCTGAATGATAAAGATCTGGCTGCAAACATGATTTCTGTATCTGATGAGTGGTCTTCCCACTGGTAGTAGCTTTTTGGGATAAAGCTGTGTTTTGGTTCAAGGTACCACACAGAAGCAAATGTAGTCCTCAGCTCTTCAGTTTCCTTTTATTCAGACATGTTCAGAATGTCCTGCTAAGAACAGGGCTTATGTAAGATGGTAAGTCCAGAAGATTATTCTGTTATGACCAGTTTTAAAATGTGTATGCCACAGGTTACACTCTTTGGTCTCTTGGGTTTGTTTTTTTAGTCACAGTGTGACTTCTGACAGTGAAAGACTTTAAAAAGCAGTGGGAATTGCAGCATTTCAAGTCCTGTATATATGTCAAAAGTGAAAAGAATGTGATGCCTTCTTATGCATTTCTGATGCATATGGAAAATGCAGATCAGATATTGGATTCCTCTCACATAATTGGTATCTGTGCTCCAGTAGGCAGAAGGATTACGAAGGACTCTGTCAAAAGAACTGTGTGTCTTCAGCGTTCTCAAAGAAGTAAATTAGGCAGTGCTTTGCAGAGCAGGCTGTGACTAGCTAGACTGCTGCTGGTACTCACATGAGCACGTGTTTGTGCTGCACTAATGTGTCACCCAGTCTGTGCCTGTGCTCAGATGTGGTTCTCTGTCTTACCAGGTAACAGATTTCTGTCCATTTGACTTCTCAGGCTTGAAGTGGTAAAGGGAAGTCCATTAGTCTCCTGCACAATTGAAAATGTTTTGTATACTTTAACCAAAAACTTTGGCCTTCCAGATATAGACAGTGCCCTTTGCTCTTGAGGTTGTTGCCAAGTCTTCAATTCCTTTCTCTTGCAAAGGTCAGACAAGCAGAATATCTGAAATTTGTTGCTTGAGAATTCTTTAGCCTCTGCAACCTTCCAGGTGTCTTTACCTTTCCTTCTAGTCCGTGACTCACTTCACCACAGCAGCTATCAATTTACATTCTGGAGTACATCCTTTCTCACATCAGGCAGTGTAGAAGATGTACTAGGTAGCTGTCATTTCTGGGTTTTCCCACTCCACTTTTTTACCTAGATGATTTCCTTGAATTAACTGCATTTCCTTAACCTCAAATCCTTTAAGTCTAAAAAAAAAAACCTAAAAAATTAAATGAGGCTGGTACTGTGGTATGTCCCAGTCCATAGGCATGTTCTTGTGAAAGTTCCTAAGATGTTTCATGTTTTCTAACCTGAATATTCTGTTTCAGGTGCCAGTTGCAAAGTTTCAAGAACTGAGATATAACGTTGCTCTTATACTGAAGGAAATGAATGACTTGGAGAAAAGAAGCATACTGAAGATCCAGGACTGAATGCTTCGAAACTGGGAGTTTATAGAATGGATGTGAAAACACCCTCAGCGTGTTTGGTGAATGGCAAAGCAGGGGACCATCACCACTTTGCCTCTCCAAACTTTAACGTGGCATTTATGGCCATTTATGACGTTTATGATGTCTGCTGTAAATATGTTTTCAAGTGTTAAAAGCACAAGCTCTTTTCGTAAGACTTAGGAAAAAAACAAAACCAACTCTATGAGAAAGCATAATGCTGTTTGTGAGAATTATTGCATGATTCATCAAAACATTTTTTAAATAACTGTCTTAATAGATGTAAGAGTCATTTATTTCTGATTATGATTCATCACTCTAATTATTTTTGAAAGCTTGCTACCGGAAGCCCCATCAGTGTGTATCAGAAGAAAGCTCTGCAGTATCTCAAATAAAAAATACAACAAAAACCAACCACTCCTGTGCTCTCGTGTGACAAATGTGAACTGGAGTTTTGCGTAAGTAAACGTGCTTCTGGCTTCTCACTGACCGAGTTATGGCTGCAGGTATTTAAAAGCTAATTTTGAAGAAAATTGGAAGTCTGTGGATCAAAAAAGTTGAGCTTCCAGAACTAATTCCATGGAATTGCATAAGTGGAAAGGTACAATGTAAGTCTTTATCTGGTTGATCAGAATAGGCTTATTAGCAGTAATCTCATATATTTCTAACTGGAAAGGCCTGCTTCTTGTTTCATGTATTCCCCATATGTTCAACATGAACAGTATCATCTGAATTACTGGGCAGAAACCCCTGGCACTGTGATGATAGTGAATGGCAGGAGGCAGTGATCTTGTAGATTACTATATATTCATTAATAGTGCAAGTGAGACTCTGGGATGAAGAGGCTGAGTGCAGCCTCTGGGAGGAAAGTCATGGGTGTGAGGATACCAAGCCACCAGGCCAAGGAAACAGTTAAGCACAGGCTGAACTTCCTTGAATTGGTCAGTCAGTTGGACTGGATGATCAATGTAGGTCCCTCCCAACTGATATAAAAATTCTATTTGTCCCATGAGTAAACCTTGGAAGAAGTCCCTTAACTTGAAGCATATGTTTTAATTCTCATTTTAAATGCCCTGGGACCACAAGTATGTCCCTAAGAGTTTTGCCAAGAAGGGCTGCATTCCTCAGTCATTGCCTGAACAAGTTTTCCCTCAGCAGCAAAGATATGGAGGCTGTGAGCAATGGCCCAATGACAGCACCGGCCATGGGCTCTAGAACTATTGGATTTATCTGACTGCCAAAAGTAGTTTAGAAAGCATGTGCCATGACCACTGTTGGCACTGGCTCATTCTAGCTGCCCTTAGGGGTTTTACATCAGTAGTACCACCCATACTTCTCCCTCTTGGTTTTTGTGACTGTAGAATTTGTCTTTATCTCCCCTACTTCTCGCAGAAAACTACTGGAATTAAAACCATGGATTAGCAGGCCTTTTACACTCCCACAGATGTTTGTGTAGGAAAGGATGGCTTGGCTCTTGGATTTTAAGAATCACAACAGGTGTAAAACAGCTTCATTGTCATACTTTTAAAAATAACTTCTCTGACAGCAGTCTGCTCTAATACAAGGACAGCTCAATAGCTATGGTCCAGAAAGCTTTTAAAACCTGTGCAAGAATGTATCCTGTAGTTTCAAATAAACCTGTCATCAGCCTTTATTTCAAACTGTTCCATTCGCTTTGTAGGCTACTCATCAATAAGTCTGAGGTTTGATCCATACTGCATCTGAACTATTGTGTTCAGGTTATGCCAAAGCATCTAAAGAGGAATTAGCTCCTGTAACTTGAAGTGGACTGTAGGTTGCATTAATGTGATGTTTTCCTTTTTGTTTTAGTTTTTGAAGCTTGTGTATCTTCTGGAATTCCATTCTCACAAGATGTGATACAAAACATACATCTTAAGTTCCTTGTTACAACCTTTTCACTCTAAATGTTCAGGTTTATTGGTTTCAAACTGGAAAGGAATCTCAACTGAGACAAGTGAAGTCTTCAGACAAACGGAGCACTGCATGAGTGTAAAGTGACCTATTGCTCATGACATTTGCAAAGTATTTTTTCACTGGTCAGAGCAGAAGGATCCATAAATGCCTTTACCTTCTAGACAGAATATATTCCTTCCATTGTTCTCCTGAAACAGCAATTGCCCATGTTCTCCAGAAGTGGAAAGGCTTCCTGACTGTTTTCCTCATGTTTTCCACAGGGAGTGATGGACCTCTTAGGCTCAAGTTTTTCTTGCCACACATTAAGCAGGAGTTTACTGTAACTGGAGGTTTACAATACACATGAAGGGGTACATAAACACTTGGGATTTTCATTCCTCTGTACTTAAGAGTTAATCTGGGCTTTCCTG